GCGGTCATGTGAAAGTTACTTTTATGTTTTCATTAATGTGAAAATGTATATTTATGCTATAATTTGTTACATACACATGGGTTTATCACTACTGCCACAGTAAGAGCTTCAAGCTTAAACATTTTATCATAAAGCCCTAAATTTAGGAGAAAAGTTCAAATTCAGCTTAACAATTTGAATTTGTCTTTCCTGAGCTGCTAGTTTCCATTTGTTCTATAATGTTGCAGACGTGTACTCTGATCAAAAGCTGCTACTGGTACTGTAAGACTATGTTACAGAGTGGTAAATTAATGTGCTGGATTATTGTTTTACTTATTTGAATCACCCCACAAAATTAAATATTAACATGAATTCTGAAGTCTGGAGCGTTTGCTGTAGTTCACTGTCTGTCTGGTGTTTGTCTGGTTCATGTTTCATACTTAAAGTAAATGGTCTTGGTAAATGGTCTTATACTTGTATAGCGCCTTTCTATGCTTTTACAGCACACTCAAAGCACTTTCACATTATTTGGCCATTCACCCATTCGCACTCACGGATTAACACACCGGTGACATCACCGGGAGCAACTGGGGGTTCAGTGTCTTGCTCAAGGACACCTCGACATACACAGGGATCTTTTTGTTGGTGCTGTTGTTCAGATGAACAGCTGTCGTGGTGCCAGGTCTCTTTTGCCTTTTTATCCCTTCAGCCTGTCGCACCAACAAAAATGTCCCACTTCTCTTATTTTAAAAATCCAAAAACCGTGGTGTTACAGTTATGTAACTTCCCACAGTGCAGACATGCTCCTGAAGAGTATCACAATATGTCTGCATCACTTTTAATAAAGGAAAATGAAGCATGTTGAGTTACAGAACACAATGCTACATTTGATGCAAGAGCTTCCAGAACGCTCAAAACAAGATTTTCTCATTTTTGTAATGTAGCTGATATTAAACATTCATTTCAAGACTGCAACTGGTGCCTGAACATAATCGAAATAAGTGACAGTTGACAATTTTTGTGTACTTGTACACTGTTAAAAATATTAATAAACACTAGTTAAAAATGTCTGGGTATCCGTTTCTCGCACACTGAGACAGAAAGACAATGTATGTCCACTGTTGCATCTGCAATCCGCTCTGTGATGCCAAAGTGCAGCCACTACACACGCTCAGGTTTTCCACCAGTAGTGGGCGCTGTTGTTAAAGCTAAGAGCTCTGCTGCCAGCTGACGAAACATGCAGTCCAGCATTTTGTTTTTGAGCAAATGAACAGACCTTACTGGGTGTAAAGCTACAGTACCATTATTAAATTTCAAAAGCTATTTTGACAAGGTATTTGTTTTTAATCAGCAGATTAAAATGGGGAAAACAAGTTCCTCCATTAATTGGTTTTCAATAAAACAATTTGTAAACCCTGTGATAGACAGGCAGTCTCTCCAGGGTGTATCCCGCCTCTTGCCCAATGTCATCTGGGATTGGCTCCGGCCCCCCCACGACCCTTGTTAGGATATAGATGATGGATGGATGGATGGACAATTTGTAAACAGTACAAGATATTAAAAAAAAATACTAAATTACATTTTATACAAAAGTAACAATTCACTAACAGAAGTCCTTTAAAGTCTTTAGAAAAAAGTTCCATGCTGCAACTTCTTGCAAAATAGTTTTTCCTGTTGCATCATTAGTCAGTTTCTTTTGACAGTAAAGGGCAGTGCTGATTCAGTGGGCCCCCAATCTCCAGCTGTTTTCACATCTGTTTAAGCCCACCAGAAATGTTGGGTATCTGCATGTGCAGCTGCTCACAATATGAAAAAAACCATGTCCTCAAGCCTGTGTCCTTTTGATATCACAAAACAACACATTTCTTCTTCCTCTTATAGTTCTTTTGTTTTCTAATGAAAGCCAAAGCTGTTTTGGTGGCCTCTCTGAAAATGTCTTCCACATTCTCCTGATACTTTGCCGAACACTCGAGGTAGAGCTCTGCATTCATCTGCTGCCGAGCCTCCTCACCCTACGTCCAAAACCAAACCAGCATTAACAAACATCAGATGTAACACAGTTAAATGTGGTTGTACGTTCTGGTAAGAGTAGTTCCTCTTGCATATTTTACATCCTGTCATTTGTAGCCTCAAGCAAAAGCCCTACATTCATAGATCAGTAAATCTGCACATTTCTTCTCATTACATTCATAGATCAGTAAATCTGCACACTTCTTCTCATCTTACCGTACCTGTGTGTAAGTGATAGGAGCCAGATTCATGGCCTTCAGCTTCCTTGCACACTCCTTATCCTTCCTGAGGTCAGTCTTGCAGCCAATCAGGATGACGGGTGTGTCCCGACAAAAGTGCTTTACCTCTGGGTGCCACTGGGAGAAAGAAAGGACTTAAAAAAGGTTTCATGAACTGGTTTAAAACATCATATGTGTGTTCTTTTTAACATTAGGATTACATCCTGAAAAACAACAGCACTGAAAAGAGAAAGACCCAGCACAGTATTGAGACCTGTGTGCATGAGGTCAATGTCCACATGCAGACAGAGCAACAGGAGTCAATGGCTAAAAGAATGCAGCCAAAACAAACATACTACACTCTAGCAATCATTTACAAACTCAGTTCGAACAGAAAACCTGAATGTCCAGTTTACACCTGCATGGAATAACTTGGCGTGTTGTCAATGCACTGAAGAAATGATTACCTTTATCATAACATTGTCAAAGCTGGCCGGGTGGGTCACGTCAAAGCAAACTAGAATCAGGTTGGCTTCTTGGTATGAAAGTGGCCGTAGTCTGTCATAGTCATCCTGCCCTAAAAGAATGAAATAAAAAATGTGTTAGCTAATAAATGTAGACTAGTAAATAACAATGTGTGTAAATGACCAGCAGCATAAAACAGCAAAGTGTTGGCTGCAAAAGCCTGAACATAAAGAGTTGACATATGATAGACTAGATGAATGAACCCACATCCTGGGTTTGGCTTCCTTTTCCGCTGATGTAAAGCATCCTGCAGCAATTCTACAAAAACCGCTGCCGACACAGACTGTCATGAAATTACTTTAAAAACTTATCAGTTCACATTCTGTAAATGTCGGTGTTCAGGCAAGCTGAGTGTTGTTTAAATGGATACTGCTGCCAAATCAATACAAAATGTTTTTAATACCTTTATGTGACAAATATAAACACATTTTTCTACAAAATCCTTTGCTGTTTAAATTTGTTTAAACCAGAGGTGGAAAGTAACTGCGTGTATTTACTTAAGTCCAATTTTGAGGTATGTGTCCTTTTCTTGACTGTTTTCATTTTTGCTACTTCATACTTCAACTTCACTACATTTTAGAGGCAAATATTGTACTTTAATGATCCCTGATGGGAAATTCACAAGTTACCCAGCAGTACTTCAATATATAAGCATATATAGGGTTAGCTCCACCTTTACCAGCTGCAACATTAAATGTAATGTTTACAAAAATGTATCAGTAATTATAATCCAACAGTATTGTATACATACATGTGAAATGTGCTATTCAGCATAATGAGTAATTTTACTATTGGTACTCTGAGTATATTTTGATGCCAATACTTTTGTACTTTAAGTAAATGCTGAATGCAGGCCTTTTACTTGTAGTAGTCGAGTATTTTATACTGTGATATTGCTACTTTTACTTGAGTAAACAATCTGAGTACTTCTTCCACTTCCATTATGCAAGAACTTCACCTAAATAAGTTGCAACTACAATCAACAAATGTATGAGTTAACATCAACCAATATTACATCAGATACCTCAATGACCGAGAATCCTTTAACCAGTACTCAGAAAATATTGTTGTTGGATACCCAACCCAGTGTGGAAGTCAGGTTTTGTAAACAAACAAATAAATAAACAATAAACAAAAGATTAACAAACAAAAAAGGATCAAATATTAGGCTGACTCTAATATTAGTCCATGGCTGAGATCGACACAATAACTCAGCTGTTACACATTCAGCACTACATTGAATACGGTAATGTATTTTTGCTTAATCATGAAGTAAGATAAAAGGTTTCTTATATTAAATTTGCCTCTAAAGTTGTCTCCATGACAGCTTGTTAGTAGTTACTGAAATGCAAACAGCTGGTGAGTTCCTAAAAGATTATGTTGATGCTCTGACGTTAACATCGACCCGACCTTCAGCACTTCCTCTGCCGTTCCCAGACAGAGTCAGATAAAGCCTGACTACACAGAGATCGGATGTCTGAACTTTATTTATTTGAAGATGTAAAGCTATTTCCCTGCTGGCAGTGCGTTGACCTCTGAGTTTATCTGCACAATGTCTTTTTTTTTTATCCCATCCAGTGGACACAGTGTGTATTTGCTCGCTGAGCACAGCACACTCAGAATGCTGATGTTTCATGTAATGTACTGTACTGAGACTTAAAACTGATTCATAGATATTCAACATGGAGGTGATTTTTGATCTGATGGAGTCTTACCGGCTGTGTCATACAGGTTGAGCTTGATCTCTTTTCCCCCGAGAGAGATGGTGTTGACATACTTTTCAAATACTGATGGTGCATATTTCTGTTTTTAGCACACAAGAGAAGAATGTCCAGTTTATGATACAACTATATGTTGACATATTCCATCCTTCATGTCATGTTTCTGCCCCATTTATAAGTTATTCAATTTTATTAGTAATGCTATGATATATGGAATTTTGAGTTAACTAAATAAGGATTGAAAAAGGAGCTCAGATCAGTACAAAATTCAACATTATGGTCAGAGAAATCTGTCTTTACTAGTAGATGAATATACAGTATTAAGAGATTTGGGTTACATGACACTAAAAATCCTCTTACCTCTGGAAAATCACCTTTAGCATAAACCATCAAAAGAGATGTTTTCCCACAGCCTCCATCTCCAACAATCACAATCTTAAGTTCGTCTCCCTTTTTTACAGTACCACTACCAGTCGCAGCACCGTTTTGTGTCATTTCGCCTCCAAATTCAAACAGGTGCCAGGCAGGACAGGGCTGAAGATACTCCCTCCAGATTTAAGTTGTATACATAGCAAAGCCTAGTAAATCTATATTTGGAAAAGCTTAGATGATTTACAGGCTGTGTCGAGAGAGAAACAGACAAGCCTCATGTTTTACCTTGTATCTCACTCTGCTCACCACTTCCTGTTCCTGTCACAATGAAACAGCTTCCAATTAACCCCCCATACTTCTCACGTGGCCCGTTAGCCTGTGCACTGGTAGCATCTCTGGGTATGAATAATGCAGCAGCCGAGTTGCATATGTGGAGCGGTTAAGTCTGGTTGCTCCTACTTCCTCTTCTACATGTGCCTGCCTTTTCATTTTCTGGGTGGGTACTCAAACTGAAGCACTACCTCTATCCACAGTGTGTGTCAGATAACACTAACAATGTTTACCTCTAATGCTATTGATAAGCCGGAAAGTTTTGTTTAGCTCAGACAGTAATCATTACAACAAAACATAAATTTTTATCTTTCAAGTCAGTTAAAGTTAATGTGTGATCTGGAGGTGCTGTGATGACAGTGAATCAGCTAAATGAACATTCAGTGTGCATCTAACCTTGTACTATCATTAAAGTGTCTTACTTTTGTGGATTTGTTTTCTCAGAAACAATGACAAATACAATTTATAGTGATAGGAAGCCAGTCTCTCTTATTCCTCTAGTATGATCTGTAATAAACCAGCATCCTCACTTCTCTCATCTCCTTTACATACACAATACTTACTGTATATGCATTTTGTTTTGTATTGATTACTCTTTATATTGTTATGTGTGGGTGATCGAGTCTCTATGAAATACTCCTTTAAAGGTAAATCATTACATATCAGTATATCATAGCAAAGAAGAGGAGTATAGCTTGGGTTCGGGTATTTTTCCACTGAAAACAGTATCTGATCACGGATGTTTTGAACCTAGATACAACATTAATTAAAATTAAAGTGGTTCCTATTCATGTGATCACTTTGAATCCTCAGGGTTAGTTACAAGGAAGATGTCAGTCACACTTCTCTGTTTTGTCTGTATGGCTGAACATGACAGTGACATCACAGACTGGGCGTCAGGACAAACTATTCTCTTTCTTCCCAGGGTGGGATGTACAGATGTCTTATACAGCAACAAACTCATTAAAAGAGCAAAATAAAGTTGTTGTTTTGGAGACTGTACTATACTACTATAGTTGGAACACGTTGTCCATGATGTTTTTCAGATGGGAGCCCGAAGAAACCAAGCTGCTATAGAACAAGACAAATAAGGGATTAAATGAAGTGTCCCCTTCAATGTCTTTCCTCTAATCAGGAGTGAATGCTACCAATTAGGCTTAGTGAATCTGATAAAAAGCAACTGGACATGCAGTCTTATAAATTCAGTTATCTTACATTAGAGTTACAACAGCATAATGAATGACCTGTAAACCTGGGATTTTTATAGACATCATATGCAATTAAAAATCAACTTCAACCATTTTCAATCAGTTTCAACCATGTTGATGACTGTTAATATCTACAAGTAGGTAGGTTCCAGCTGGAACAGATCACAGAGAGTCAGTTTTTGGAGATTATGCTAAACTCAGCCTCTGCTAGGAAACATTTTCTGTCAGAATGAGGTAAACTAAAAAGTCACATTTAAGCACTGTATTTCAATGCTCATTGGTGGATGATACAGTTAAATGGTGGGTAAGAGTGCAGAAAATCTGAGCAAGCTGTCTGTCCCTTTAAGACAATAAGCTGTCACTATCTTTTGCTCATTTTAAGAAAAGGAATATTTCAAGTACTGTATGTTGCCTAAAACATAGACACACTTGATGTAGTAATTCAATCAAAATTTCACCCAAAAAACAAACTTGTAAGAGGCTCCCACAGTTATGTTACCTTGCAGAATGAATTATGATCATTGTGTAGTTTAATATAGTATTTTTCTAATACTATAAGTGATGACTGGCTACTGCTTTAAATATCTAAAATAGCTTACAGTGAAAAACTGCAGTATCAGTTCTCCCAAAAGTGCAACAATCTGCTTCAATCTCCACAATAGAACAAAAAAGGTGTATAATCTATTTATTTAAATATCTCAAACAGAAGACAGATGATATTGCCAAACAAAATAAACTAATTCACAAACTTTACTGTCAATTATTACACAAGTATTATAGTATACATGCAAATATTTAAGAGGTAGGAAGAAGAAAAGCCAATGTTTTTAATACAGCAAAGGCTCACATCCGCCAGTCTGCCTGAAAAAAAAAAATTGACTAAGCGAATGCACCATAAATAATATGAAAAGGAACCAAGCGAAGAGGATACCTGATTTGATTTAGTGAGCAATCCGTCTGAATAAAAGACTGATCATACAGAGAAAGAGATAAGGTGCATATAGCTATTTACCTGGTTATTCTGACTCTACAGAAACGTTTTCATCTGTCCCATATGATTTTACAATGCGGTATGGTGTAGCCCAGGCTATGAAAAAAAAAATACCTATAATAGTAATCTAAGAAAAAAATAGTGCTTATTGACTTACAAGATGAAACTGTCAGCCTAACATTGGAATAACAAAGGATATTAAATTGTCCATTAGGTATACAAAATATCCGTGTACAGACCCTTTTCATTAAATTATAAACAAAGAACAATGATCAGAAGTGTGTTTCGCCGTGCTGAGAGACAGCTGTCCTGTAGAAGAAAGGCCAGTCCTCATGTGTGGAATATTCCAGTCTGTCAGCAGCGCGCAAAGCTGCATAGCTCAACCCACCCGGGAGGATTTTTTTTTTAAACGAAGGCCTATAAATAACCTCATTGAGGGATTTGAGCAAACTCCTCACTAATGTCAAATTTTCACCTTTGTTACAAACGCAATCTTAACAATTTTGTCCCCACTGGGTGGAGGTCGAATAGCAAAGGTTTGAGAGGATCGGTTTATAGCCTCGTGACCTGCAAATGGAGGAATGTGCACAGCTGGTAGCTTGAGCTAGAAGTGGATATAAAAAACAGACCTCTAACACACCGTCTGCGATTTTGTGTCCCCTCATGCGCACTTGTACACACGCACAAAAAAGTGCGTAAAAGGTGCCATGCAGTTGCGCACCTGGAGATTCCTTTTTACGCACACGAATAAAGACTACCCCTCCTCAATTTTCAACTCCTTTACCGAACAAAAGGTAAAATCGTATCTTTGTTGTTTGTATTCTCTGGGCCGTAGCACTGAAACCACTCGATCATGGTGATCCACCGGTCTTTGTCTGGAACCAGAGAGAGTAAGCGCGAAAGCACGAGGCGCCCCACCCCCCATCCGTGTTATTTTCACCCAGATACTCAACCACAGCGCTGCTGCAGAGGATTCCTGTTGACCTTATATGGCAGTGTGGGGGAGCTGCAACACGCTTGAGCTCTGATGGCAACCGTCCAGAGCTCTCGGATTACTGCCGTTGTCAGGGCGAGTCAGCCCAGCAACCCACAGTCTGAACCTGCCACCTTATTATCGTTTCCTTCCTTACACGTACTGTCGATTGCTTTTTCTTCATTTTTACTTCTTGCAAAACATACACCC